AGTGTTCAGGAAACTTGGGTTTGTAGTGGACTAGAGAAGCAATGCGATTTAGCTTGTTTTGATTTTCGGTTTTTTTTGGGGAATGCCCAAGGGCGTGTCTCAGACACTGGTGCTTGTCTGTGTTTGATCACGCAGAGCCAGCCCCAAACCCTACATCCTACTTTAGCAAACGTAGATCTTACAGACCTTTTCCTGATTGCCGTTGCGCGAGTGTCAGCTAGGCAGCATGCCTTCAAAAGAAGCCCTGCTGTCGTTTCAAACCCATGGGTGTCACAGCATCTGATTCTTAATATCGGGCGGGGGCGGGGGGCCCTACTTAGGGTCGAGGGCCCGCAACTTCTGCAGATCAGTCCCGATATTGGTAAGCGAGGCAATGACGGTGGACTGGCCGAATGGCACGCTCTTTTTGCCCGTTGCTACGACTGCATTTTGTACTTCCGGGCTGCGGCTCAATTCTGGAGATCGTTGGTCTCCTAAACCCTAAACCCTAAACCCTAAACCCTAAACCCTAAACCCTAAACCCTAAACCCTGGTGGGAAAGAGAACGGCGACCAGGCTCAGGAGCACAAGTCTAGAGTGCGTGGGCACGTTACGGCACGTTCCACCGGTTCCATTCACGTATCCTTGTTCGTGCGATTAATTTCAGAGGCAAAGGTGACCTTGAGTTTGAAACCCTAACCGACCAAGTATTTTTTGGGTGGTGGGGGGGGTTTGTAATTTAAGCCCTTGGTATGTGCTATGCCTTGTCCTGTTTCGGTTTCATAGGATTGGCCAGTCTTTCTAAGACCCTAGACCCTAGACCCAGAATCCTAAACCTCAAGCTTGCCCTTTGTGGTTACAAAAGGCCCACCTTGCGGTTCATCCCAAACAAAAAGGCTGGCTTATGAGCCCCACCCTCAACACCACAAGTCTTGTAAGCCCTAGATTCCCGAAAGCTTGGACCATGGAGAAGGGGCCAGCCCTGCACCAAAAAACGGGTTCACTCGGATCTGAAGGCTTCCCAACAAAGCCCCGCTGGCTGGGCACGTGGCAACAGGCCCTTCGGAACCCTGAACCCTAAGCTAGGTGGGTGACGCACAACTCTTACGAAACCTTAAGCCCTAAACCCTAAACCCTAAACCCTAAAGCCTTCCGGTGTGCCCTGCTTCGAAGTCACAGCAAGTAGCAACTACAGATCTCCAGTGACCACTGTGATCGTGGACCTTTCACAAGAAGGGCAAGATTGATGTATGCTTGGTCTTATCAGACTGGACGCGCAGCAACATAGAGCCTTGCCTCGAGAAGCTAGGTCCACAATTCTCCTTTGATTGGTCACAAGGAGGCATTGAGGCAACCGTTGGCTGCTGTGCTGCATGGTTGCGTCCGGAACGAGAGGGGAAGTTCCCGCAGATCTCTCTACATCAGGCCTGTAATTGCAATGTAGCTGCGTGCTAGCTGAGCTGGTGCCGTTCGTGGTGGAAGGCGTGAGCTCCCTTCCGAGTCAATGCTGCACAATCGCACAGACGCATCACTGTAGTGCTGCATGCACTTTGATCTCCACCGCGGGTACGTGACGCGATTCCAGCCAGGTTTCACAGACCATGAAACCAGATCAATTAGCATGAGCTTCCCCTTCCCCAAGAGCGTGCTGTGTTCCCTGCAGTGTGACTTAAAGTCAGGTAGGCGGGCGGCAGAAACACCTAAACCTTCAACCCTAATAACAGTCTGCTGCTGCAAAGTTCTTGACGAGTCCCTCGTCGCTTGCCCAGCCTGTGGAAGCAGTCTGTCATGGAGATCTCGTCTTTTTCCTTTTGGGTTTAGGGTTTAGGGTTGAGTGTTTAGTGTATCCATTCGATGGTGAATGGGGGACGTCGAGCTGTAGTTTTAGTTCTGCTGGTGGATTAGTCCCGATGACGCGCTGGTTCACAGTGCTGGCGGGCCCAGCTGCTCTGATGTCAGAGGCCCCTAAACCCTAAACCCTAAACCCTAAACCCTAAACCCTAAACCTTAAACCCTAAACCCTAAACCCTAAACCCTAAACCCTAAACCACCCTTTGCTGTAATTACAGCAGCCGAGGCTATGCTCCATTGCCCCGCCTCATTCTCAGAGCCGCTGCTACTCGCGAGCCCAACGGCGTTGTTCCTGGGCAGTCACCTGGAGGAGCAGACGGAGGCAGGCCTGGGGGTTTGAGGACCCTAAACCCTAAACCCTAAACCCTAAACCCTAAACCCTAAACCCTAAAGGTTGGGGGCTTGGATGCAAAAAGGCCTTAGAGTTCAGGAGGGGTGATTCAGGTTGAGGGTTGTGGCAAGCTTGAGGTTCAGTTTTTTGCCCTAAACCCTAAACCCTAAACCCTAAACCCTAAACCCTAAACCCTAAACCCTAAACCCTAAACCCTAAACCCTAAACCCTAAACACATGAATCATAAGTCAACTGTTCCCTGCAGAGTGGCTCCAGTGTTCAGGGGTTCCCTAGTACTACCCCCCTCCCCTTAAATAACCTTAACAAAAGGCTGAGATATCCCTAAATAGCCTTAATTATGGGGGGAACCCAGGAAGTGTGGGTCAGCTCCTTTCGGAGGTGTCCTTGCAGTTCGAGTTTCTGGCTGCTACACGCTTGCCACGCGGTGCGGCCTGGCTCACGGCCGCCGAAGGCATTGGGAAGGTAAACAGGGGTTTAGGGTTTCGGGTTTAGGGTTTAGGGTTCAGGGTTCAGGGTTTAGCGTTTAGGGAGGTGTTGAGTCGTGGGCTGTCCTTGGCTGCAGGGTTTAGGGAGGCTGGTAGATGGATGCTCTGAGGAATATTAAATGGCGCCCCAACGGTACTCACGAATCACTTTGAACGCCCGCAGCCCTCCGCGCCCAAAGTTTGAAAGTCGCGAGCAGCCGCATGCTGGGAGGCCATGGCAGCCTTGAGCGCATGGCCTTAGTGGCACCCGGACGAGGTTGCCTGAGGCCGCCTGCTCACTAAACCCTGAACCCTGAACCCTGAACCCATCTGAACCCTAAACCCTAAACCCTAAACCCTAAACCCATCCTTGCCCCCAAGCTTTTGAGCAAAACCCCCTCTGCCCACAGACTCTGGAGTGCTGGCGCGCTGCTGGCAGGCCGCCTCGTCACAATGTGGGTGAGAGTAGGGTGTAGTAGGGTTTAGGGTTTAGGGTTTAGGGTTTAGGGTTTAGGGTTTAGACAGGGTTTAGTTAGGGTTTAGGACTTGGGGTTTCGAAGGGGTTGGTGCATTGATTGCGAGCCCTAGCCCCTCCTGGACTCTTATTCTTGAGGGCAGACGGCAGACGTGTATAAATTCATCATATAGGTAGCTTAGTTGATGCGACTCGGCTTTAAAGAGAGGGGCTGGTCTGTTCAAACCGAATAGCCAAACAGGAGACCATGGACTCCTTGCGCCTAAAAGCCCAGAAACACGAACAACACGAGCAAAGCACAGCACCGAACATCCAACATGTTGCAGAGACCATGGACCCCTCGTGCCCAAAACCGGCAAAACTGGCAAAACAACGATCACCCTCCAGTCCAGAAGATCAAGAAGCAGTATCGGGAAGAACGCCTTCGTCGGAACGCCTAGTCTGAAATGGACATCGTGTACGACGAAGTGGAAACAACAGGAATACTAGGACCTTATTCCCTTGTTTCAGGGTTTAGGTTCCCCTTTTCATGCCTTTAAACCCAAAAAAAAGGGGCACCCTGTTTATTCCTAGGCTACTCTTGGGTCTAGAATACCTTGAATGCTGACTTCTCTCCTGAAACCTTCAGGGCTACCCTCGATCATGTTCAGACTTGTGGTTGAAGTCACCCGATCTGACAGCAAACCCAGGTTAGGGTTTAGGGTTTAGGGTTTAGGGTTTAGGGTTTAGGGTTTAGGGTTTAGGGTTTAGGGTTTAGGGTTTAGGTTTAGGGTTTAGGGTTTAGGGTTTAGGGTTTAGGGTTTAGGGTTGGAGCCCGGATGCACAAAAAAGAGGTTAGGACATTGCGGGGGTTGAGTCAAAGTGGGAGTTATTCGAAACGTCCTTATTGGGGCAATGATAGACAGTCCTAGGTTCATAACTTTGTAGGCCTTTGGGACATTTTATGTTTCCCTTCTTGGGTTTAAGAGGATCATATGCAGGAATCTTTTTGAGCGGGGTTTAAGGGCCATCCTTGATGAGGGGCCATATTGTAGGGGACATTGGTTTCTAGAATGCCCCTGTTGAAGACAGGCCATGTGGGTCTAAGTTGTGAGACCTTCTCGCCTGCACGGAACTCCCTCAAACCCTACATACCATGACGGCCAAGAGGGCTTCGATATCTCTGGAGCGAGGCAAAGCACCCAACTCATGCCCTCAAGACTTTCAAGGTAGTGAGCCTCATCACGTTCGTTTGGATGGCTGGGGACCAAGTGGGTTTGCGTCGGCTGCCGTGGTTGTAAATTTTCACCAGCACTAGAACCAAGAAGGTACGTACTGTCATGCTCGAAGGTATCGCAGTTAATCACATGCCGACGTCCTTGTCTTCCAATAGTGCGCAGAAACGAAGCTGAGAACTTGAACTGCCTGCAGCTTGTAGCCTTCCCTAAACCCTAAACCCTAAACCCTGCGAGAGTGAGCGACTAAACCCTAAACCCTACACCCTCAACCCTCAACCCTCAACCCTAAACCCTAAACCCTTGCAACCCCAGACGCGCGCTCGAAATAGCCATGCTGGCTCAGAGAAGGCTAGGCACTCAGCGCGGGCTGAGACGGGCCCACATTTGAGGCCGGAGGGCAAGGAGGTCTAGGGTTTAGGGTTGAGGGTTTAGGGTTTAGGTCTGCTGAAGAATCTGAAGATGCTCATCCCCTTCGGCCGTTTGCTCATGGAGAGCCCCAACCTGCCTTTTTTTCCGGCTATTTGTGGCCGTTGCCATAAAACCTCCCCATGATGGGATATAATCCACCACCAAAGAAGTCTTGGGTCGCGCCTCACTGCTGTCCCTGGAAAGTTAGTTGTGTTTGGGAAGGCCTCCGTCCCGCGCGTGTTGAGCCAAGTTGATGGGCAAAGGCCGGGTATGTGTTCGGAGTTTCTGGCTCAGGGCGTGGGTTTAGGGTTTAGGGTTTCGGGGTTAGTCACATGTGGTGTGCCCCAATCTTGAGCGGCATGGTTCCATGAATGACTTTGCGCACTGCCCAGACCGTGCTTGGCCCGGCAAGAAGTGATCCCCCCAGAATTCAGGACCAGTTAGGGCGATGAAAAGCCCCTGTGGGATGTGGTTGTGCCCAGGGCCTGGTGCAGCATGCTGCATGCAGGTCGCGTGGCTCAGCACCATCAGTAGGCCCTGAGATATGCAGACACCTGGCAGGTGGCAAAGGGAAAGGCAAGAAGGGCAAGGGAAAGCAGCCTCTTGGCTGATTCTCACGAATGGCAAGCATGGCGGAGTTGTTCATGGCAAGGGGAAGAGTTCAGAAACATATAGCAGAGATGCCGAGGGGTCAGGTTGGCTCGCCACAGAACTCCACATCCCAAGGCATCAGTTTACTTTCGAAGCTGAAGCATCTCAACCCAAACAGACAACCTGCCCGGAAAGCCTTAAGGGGTTACGATGATGGTGGAGTGGGTCCCTTGCATGACGAATCTCGATATAGCCCCATGCATAGATTAAGGAGCTCCTGCGCACGCACGCACACACACACAGAGTTGTAGGGATTGGATCGGGGGTGAGGGTGAGTGGTAGTCGATCTGACCATAAGGCTGCGTATCACCTGGGCCTAAGTTGCGTCTACCATGGAATGACCCTGTACCTCGCCTGGCTTGCCCGAGTGTAAGCGATCAAACCCTGTGACGTGGCAGGGTTAGGCATGCAGGCATTGACTATGGGTCGTAGTCGTTTGGACCTGGATGGCTAGTTGTGGGTTTCCGAAGTTCGGGGTACCCCTGCTTAGGGAAATGCCCAGTTTGGTGACACCCATTCCCTACATGAAGAGTCCCAACCCAAAATCCACCCTGTGACCTGCAATTTCCTCAAGTTGGGCTAGTTGTTGTCGCGGGCTTCGGGCTTTGAAGGTTTAGGGTTCTGTGTGCCTTGCCGTTGGGCTCGATCACTAGACCGAAGCCCCAAACCCATCTTGATAAAGATGGGTCACAAGAGATGTAGATGAGTCAGCGACCCTCTTTTCCTAAACCGTTCACCCTAAACCCTAAACCCTGAATTCTTTCTTCCTAATCCCTAAACCGAAACCAGTTTGAGTGGCTTTCATCTGAATCTAGTCCCATAGCTGCACCAGACTGAGCGTCCTCCCTCCCTACCACCGATCTTCTAGATCCTTTGAGGGTTTTGGTTTAGGGTGTAGGGCTTTGGGTTTATATGTTGTGGAGCCCTAAACCTTAAACCCTAAGCCCTCAAACGATTTAACCCTTTGAGGGTTGTGTCTCAGAGAGGCTTGAAGCATTCGCCTTTCTAAGGGCGCCTGTCCGCAAATCCATATAGCCCCGAAGAAGAAACCCCCCCCCCAAAAGCGCAACAGTCTCGCCTTAGGGTTCCACCCCATTAGGGTTTTAAGTATTCGGGCATAAAATTCCCGACCCCTAAACCCTAAACCCTAAACCCTAAACCCTAAACCCTAAACCCTAAACCCTAAACCCTAAACCCTAAACCCTAAGTTCCTCGCAGGTCCTTTGAGCCGGAAGGTCCCCCAGACGAAATCGAGGAGACGCTCGTCGGGTATTCGGGTTCTTAGAGTAAGGAAGGAGGGAATTAGTACCTTATGTCCCCTGTGTAATCCCCTTCAAGGGCACGAAATAGGGGACCTCATTCCTGCATGCCCTCCTCGGAACCAGTAGCTTAAGGTTGTTTTATCAAAGCCTGCTGCTGCAAATTCAAATCCCCTAAGGTCGCAATACAAGGGGGAGATCTTGTTCGCGAGTTGTTCCTCTTTGGGGTTGGGGGGGGGGGGGTGGTAGGAAAACACTCTCTGACACGGCGCATCCGCAGCTTGTGGAGTCCGCCAGCAGGTCTTCGCACCCTCTTGCATGTATGCTTGGTAGGCCTTTGGGGCCATCCTAGTAGATTGAATCCCAAAGCCCAAGCCGTTCGAGGTTAATTACTCCGAATTTTGGTATATATAATAATCATGACAGCCTTTGCTTGCACTTCCAACTTATAAGCTTCGGGGGGGGGCATGAGCTTCAGAAAGGTTTAGGGTTTTAGGGCCTTGAGGCTTAGGGTTTAGGCACTTAAGAGAGCCCTCCGGCAAAAGGGTTTAGGGTTTGGGGTTTGGGGTGTTTAGGGTTTAGGGTTTACGGGATAAGGTAACCACCATCACATACCCCAATAAGTAGCCTGCCTTTGATTTAAGGATCGGGGAGGCCGTGCACCCCTGCGAGGATCAGTTGGCCGAAGCCCCGGAAGATGAGGGTCAAGGGACTCAAGGGGGAACCCTTATCAGGGACCTTAGGGTTTAGGGCTTAGGGTTTAGAGTTTAGGGTTGAGGGTTTTGGGTGTTGGACTGATTCTACGAGGCATACATAGGGGTTTTCTAGGGGAATAAGATTAAGAGTCCCTTTTTGGGGTCCCCCCTTGGCTGGAGAGAGACGTCCGATCGAGTTTGGGGACCAGAGTTCGGTTATCTGTATGCCCACCCCCACCCTTTTGCCGGAGGGCTCTCTTACGTCCCTCAACCCTAAGCCCTAAGCCCTAAACCCTAAACCTTTCTGTTTGGCTTTCTCAGCTCGTTAGACCTAACTAGAGCGCGATTGCGTAGGAGCCGCAGATGGGAGGACGAAGTGGAAACTTTGGTATTGGGGGGGGGGGGGGGTTTCCTTTGATTGGGGGGGGGGGGGTTTCCTTTGATGCCCTGCCCCTCGAGGTTTGCAAATGCACGAACGAAAGGGTTCCACACTTCAACGCGCGACTCTTCCTCGAGAACAAGGAGGAGATTGGGAAGGTCGATGCCTCTTGGCTATCAGTTGTCATGTGAGAGATGTGCCCAAGCCCTGAAGACCTGAAACCCCAAACCCCACAACCCTAAATCACAAAGCGATGGTCCATTTCCTACACTTCCTCCCCTGGCACCACGTGGATCTGTAAGGACGTTTTCGGGCCTATCAATGCCTTCTACTTCTCCGTGAAGCTTGGGGTGTCCCGGTTGCTCACGGACTACATGCGCTGCATGCGCTGGGTTTTTGTCTCGATGCTATCTACACTCCCCGAAGCACCCAGCCTTAGCCAGCTAACCGATGGCGGGTACCCTTTTGGCCGTTCCTAAAGAATCATATAGCCACATAGTATTTTGGGGGTATAAAAGGGGTACCCCCTATTTTGGGAGATGCTGACAAAGAAAACCCTTATAGGTTGAACACAGCTGTCACTCGGCCACGCCCGGGTTCGGACAGGGGTACTGCCGTGGCCAAGATGATGACAATATGGGCGTTTGCGACAACAAGGGACCCCTAAAATGGACCCCCAAAATAGTCGGATTCCCTTATAATAGCATGCCATTCTAGTCAAAAAGGCGCCGGGCGTGATATATATATATATATATATATACATATATATATATACATATGCATACATACATACATACATATATATATATATATATATTTGTGAGCAGGCCCTGCGCTCCATTCTATAGCCACCCTTGGGAATTATGGTATGTGTTTTTTTACATAAACTCCAAGGCAATAGTCAAGATAGTACGTTTATGAAGGTTCTAAGGGGAATATGGCATTGGCAAGCCCTCCGTTTCCTTGCCAGGAAGGGATGCAAGCTGGCTCCTTCAAGACTGGCAAGAAGTTCTACATCGACACGATGACGCTGCGCTTGAAGACTTGCGACTTGCGATGTTCCCCCTTATACTCGCAGTCCTTAATAGGGAAGTGTTAGTATAAGGGGGAACATCCCAAACTTGCGACAAAATCAGTCAACGGCAGGTCTTTATTTGTGGAATTGTTTCCTAAACCCTAAACCCTAAACCCTAAACCCTAAACCCTAAACCCTAAACCCTAAACCCTAAACCCTAAACCCTAAACCCTAGACCCTACTGTAAACCCTAAACCCTAAACCCCATGAACAGAAACGAACAGAAGCCCCTTCTCAAGGCGCAGGTTCCGTGCCGGGAGTTGAGCACCCCACGATCCGAGCCCCTCAATCTCCAAAACCCAAAGCAAGAGACTTAAACCTTAAACCGTAAACCCAACCCTAAACCCCAAAACCAAAAGATAAAACCCAAAACGCCCTAAATCCTGAAGCTCTAAACCCTAAACCCTCAAACCCTAAACCCTAACACCCTAAACCCTTAAAACAACCCTAAAACGCTAAACCCGGAGACAGTGTGTGCCTCGCCTGGCTTGTCCGAGTGTGAGCGATGATAACCCTAAACCCTAAAACCCCTAATCACAAACTTAAACCCGAACTCCAGACTCCCCGTGGCGCCACTCAAGGAAGCTCCTGCCCCTCAGCCGCTTCTTGCCGCAGCCTCCCGGGGGGGGCGGCAAGGGCGGCAAGGGCAAGGGTGGCAAAGGCAAGAAAGGCGCCTGAAACCTTGGAGCCCCTAAACTCCAAGGTTCCAAGTCTCTGTGCTCTTAATCTGAGTCATAGGGGCCCATACTTCGGACCAGTATAAGCAAGGGCAATGGGCCATACTAAGGGCCCATGGTATCCCTTCTAACTAATCCCTAAACACTGCCCGAAAATTTGGTCCGATTTAGGGTTCAGGGTTCCGAGATACCTGGCAATCTCGGGATTCCCTTCTGTGCTTGTGACACTCAGGGATTCCCTTCCGGCATTCCCCTGGGGGTCTGAATCATGGGCCCTGTATCCCTAACTTGCTTGAAGCCTTTTGCCAGCTACTTGGCCACTTGGCGCGTCCCTGCACCCCCCCCCCCCCCTCCCCTTTTGCGAGCTTGCCCTAAACGCTTACCTTAAAGCTTAGAAACCTTAAGCAACCTGAAACGCCGAAAAGCCCCAACAATCACCACAATAGCCCTCAGGGTTTATGGTTTAGGGTTTAGGGCTTAGGGTTTAGGGTTTAGAGTTTAGAGTTTAGGGTTCAGGGTTTAGGGTTTGGGGTTTAGGGTGCGCTGTAGGGTTTAGAGCCAAGGGTTGGGGTTCGCACCGTCCCCAGACATCCCTAGAATCAAGACCCCCTGGCTCTTCGTAGAGAATCGGGGAATGAGGTACCCTACATAATCCCTTAAAGGGTATGTATGGTGGGATAAGGGGGGCCGCCTTGTGAAGAGGACCCCAAAAGGGACCCCAACTTAGAGAAATCACCATATAGGGGGTTATAGGGTACATAGGGTACCCCCTCATTCCTTACATAATCCCTTCAAGGGTATATTATGGGGATACAGGGTGCCTCGTTCCCTCATTCCCTACTAAGAACCAGCCAGAAGACCTTCCGAGCCAAGACTTGCGCAGGCGGTGGCAAAGGCAAAGGCGGTGGCAAGGGCCTCTTGCCTGTCTTATCCCGCAACGTGGCTTAGGCTGTTACCCTAGACCCGTACTAAACTCTAGAAACCCTACATAAACCCTATATACCCTATATAATCACTATAAAACACTATCAACCCTAAAAACCAAATAAACCCTATAACCCCTATAAACCCTATAAACCCTATAAAACCCTTGCCTGTGAACCCCAAACCCTTCCCTGTCACTGGTCGGCTGATGTTTCTGGTTTGGGGCCAGAGGCTTGGTCTAAGGCCTTGGCAACAACTTCTGTGATCTGTTTCTGTTGACCTGCTTTGGCGTGCGGCTGCTTTAAGAAAGATCAGATCCCTTGCAAAATATTCCAAAACACATCGAATTCGTCATGCCCCGTAGAGAGCGAGCGCCAAGATGCTCTTGGAGAAGCACTGACCTGGCAGGGAAAGGCAAAGTCAAAGGAAAGGGTAAGGACAAAGGCGGCGGGGGAAGAGGTCGAGGACGAGGCGGCTGAGGACCGGATTTGTTGGAATGTGGCAGCTGAATGATCAGTTTGCTCCACTCTCGCCGTTGCGACAAGATTCCGAACTCCCGCAGCTCACAAAAATTGGCCATGCTCCTCGCCTCCCGCTTTGTGTTGTTCGGTTGCAAGGGACTCTTGTGGCAGCAAATAACTTTAAACAGCCTGGCCACCTGAGAGCCCGTGAAGGAAGACAGCTTAGCTGAGCTGAAAATGGCAGCAAGCGATCCTTGATTCCCCTACTGCCCATGCATCTTGCTGTAGCTGGGGGGGGGGGGGACAATTGACGCTACAGCGACACACGACCCCCCCCCCCCAATACAGCACCCCGAGTTTGTTCGGCCGCAGTACACCCCCCCTAAACCCTAAACCCCAAACCCCCAGCCCCAAACCCTAAACCCTAAACCCCCAATCCGCCACTTCCGGAGGAGAGAACAGGTCCCCCTCCAGGAGCGCAGCGGCAGCAACCTTGGTTGCGGAGCTTGGTGGAGGAAGCGTAGAGCAGTTCTGGAGCCAGAAATCATGCAACAAAGTAGCAGGTTTTGATTTATAGGGTTTTGGGTTTAGGGTTTAGGTTTTCGGGTTTAGGGTAGAATTGGCTTGGCAACCGGCATGAAGACCTTATGCAGAGAGCCGCGGCCAGAGCAGGACCATTGGGGCAATGCTTTGCTGAGCCCCATCACCCAGGATGTTTCACTCTTCGCACTCGGGTGTTCAGACACTCAGCCAAAGCAGATCTGACAAAGGTAGATGGATCTGGGCCCGATAGCGTTCGCCTGCGATTCCAAGATAGAACTAAACCTACGGAAACTCACGGAAACTACTTGGGAGGTAAGTAGCGTAGGCCTGTCCAGCGGCACCCGTGAGTCGCATCGGCGATCTAAACCCCCAAAACCCCCTCTATTTCACCCCTATTTCAACCCCTAAACCCTAAACCCTAAACCCTAAACCCTAAACCCTAAACCCTAAACCCTAAACCCTAAACCCTAAACCCTAAACCCTAAACCCTAAACCATCTGAAATCCTCAGCCCCTGACTTGGTCAGATCTGCTCCACTGGGCGACGTCCGAAGTAGGGTTACCTAGTAGCCGGAACACACCGCAGGCTTCTCGCCATGAGTTTCGTCCACCATCGAGCCCCTTGTCATTTGTGTTGGATGTCCACTTACGCCATGTTACGCCATATCGGTCCATTGCGACATTCCTGCTGCCAGCTTACTTCCGTTGCGATCCATTTCCTCGCAGCAACGCGCCAGACAGAATCGAAAAGGTGAGAAAAACGCACGCCCGGCAGTGCAAAAGCGTGCGAAAGACTGTTTCTTGGCTGAGCCACACAGTCGGTGAGGCTGAGTCTTCTTGCACACTCGTGGCTCAACAAGTTTGTTTTACCATGCGACCCTGGATCCCCACCCCCAAACCCTAAACCCTACTTGCAAGCCCACCCCCGTGGAACTTCGGGCAAGGCGCTTGCAAGACTACCAGCAGCTCCAGCAACCCTACAGCTCTCCATCTTATCCTCCATCTTAGCCCGGCAGAGTTCATAACAGACACCACCAAAGGCCCGTTCTCTAAGCCTGGTACGTGGCTCTACCCAGACACCCTGGCCTGCGCAGAGAGCAACCTACGGATGAATGGCAAATTCAGGCGGGAGAGTCGGAGATTGCAGTGGCTCCTAGCTGGGAAACCTGGGGTTTTATGGCTCAGGGATGTGCTTCGGGTAGCCCTAAACCCTAAACCCTAAACCCTGAACCCTAAACCCTAAACCCTAAAAACCCTCATGTTCTGTTATGCTGGGGCTTAGGCCCTCAGGTGCACGATTCAAACCCTTATGCACAAATAGGGCGCATGATTCGGTCATTTCCCAGAGTGGTCGAGATTTTTGCTCGCGTCCTTGTTGGAACCCCAAAACAGGTGGCCTTCCATCGGAGCCGCGCGACCACATGTGATTCTAGCAGCCCACCGTCATACCTTCCAAGCCTCTGTGCAGTTTCGCCGCTTGGCCTTGGCTGGCCCTGCTGCTGAACGTGCTTCTGGGTGCCGCAGACGCCCATGGCCCGGAGAGTGCGAGGTGCGACGTGCGCGTTGTCCTAGTTGCTGCACCGGAGGAATGGCCCTTAAGCTGCCCGCCCACGTCCCAGTATGTGGCTTGCTATCTTTTCCAGTTTGTTGGTGGCCGGTCGAAAGCTCCCCGCCTTCTTTCCGCGAGTAGGGTAGTTCCTCTGAAGCCTGAGCCCCAAGCATCCCAAAGGCTTTGAAGCCCTAAGCTGTGCGAGCCGAGACGCAGGTACCTGCATTTTGACCGCACGCGTGTGCACCCAGACACCTTTGGAAGCAGGAGGCTCAAGGCAGGGATGGAAAGTGCAGCAGAAGCCCTGATGCTGAAATTCAGGGGCAAAAGGCGGGTTCTTGGAGGCTGTGTAGAGGCGGTTTGTTTTAAAGGCTACTTAGGTACCTGGTGCCTTTTGTCAGTGGCTATTACCAAGCATGGAGGGTATATGGCAAGGTAGGGTGACCTTCTAGGGGCCCGTCCTATATTCGCAGTCTTCTTCGGGCCTTGACGTTTATGATGGTGGCTGTGCGGACTGTATCGTTTTGTGTTGGCTATATAGGGAAGTTAGAACGCTTAGTTAGAAGGGCTCGGTTCGATGTAGGATAGATGCTAGAGGCATCCATGGTTCCGGAGCTTATGAGTTTGAGCCATGCGGGTGCAGGAGACAGCGTGGAAGCCCATCCGTATCCACCTCGATACCTCCGCGCTGGAGAGCCAGGTACCCATGCTTTGTTCAAATCCACCCGTTGGGATCATTGGGATGCGGGCGCGCGCGCGCGCGCGGGTGTGTGTGTGTGTGTGTGTGTGTGTGTGTGTGTGTGTGTGTGTGTGTGTGTGAGAAATCCTCCCCCATGTTGAAGTGTGTCGACTTCGCTTACGCGGCTGTTGCAGCAGATGGGGAGCCATTGCTTTGGAGTCCAAGCTGAGTGACCCACGGAATCACAGGTGGCCAGGGCAGATTCCAAACAAGATGAACAGATAAGCCTCTCCTCCCAAAATTAACTCCACTGGCGTCGTGGAATCGCATCCTCCTCCAAAGGCCTTTCTGTGCTTTTGACAAGGCTCTTGTTGACCTGACATGATGGGCAGTTCTACATCGCTTGACTCCCGGCGCGACTCAATAGTATTCCCTTATGGTCCCTATGTCATTATACTATAGTAGCACCCCAAACCCTAATTCTAATCAGTGAGGCTTCTAGTAGGGCTGTGGCGATTGTGCAGGTGGATGCCGGACAGTTGACGTACCTGCGTGATGACGTCCTGCGCGTCGGCGGCATGGAAGGATTTTGGGCGTGGGCTCCAAAGTAAGAACCCTAGGGTTTAGGGTTTAGGGTTTAGGGTTTAGGGTTTAGGGCCCTAAATCCTAACCGCTCGCCACTGGCAAAGCGCTCGGGTCTGAAAGCTTGGCAACCGCCATGCCCGTTTCGGACGCACAAACAGGCCACCTGCAATTTATTTATGTGTTGTTTATTGCAATATATATATATATATATGTGTGTGTGTGTGTGTGTGTGTGTGTGTGTGTGTGTGGTTCGAAAGTCTTTGTCGGAGTGGCAAGCCAAAACGTTCGAACAACCGGCGACTCACAATGCTTCTCCAAGAGTTATCTTTAAACCCTAAACCTAAAGCCCTAAATGCCCTAAACCTTCAACCCTAAACCTTCGACAACACGCAGCGCGACACACGGAAAGCCGCAGTTTTCGGTAGCCTCCGTGTTTGGCCGAGGCAGGCCGCGGTGCGGTGGCTCAGCAACGCCGTGCAGGCCACAGATGTCGTAGGGGCCGCTAGCCAGGGTTTTGGTTTAGGGTTTAGGGTTTAGGCTTTAGGCTTTAGGCTTTAGGGTTTAGGGTTTGGGAGATCAGATATTGTACGTGCGAAGGTTTTTCCGAGGGTTCGAGACCACGACTACAGTGACTACAGGCGATGCTCGCATAGAATCGCAAGCCCAAGCCTAAAGCCTAGAGTTCACCTGCTGGGTGGCAAAAACAAACCACCTCAGCAGAAGTTAACATCTCCCACGCTGCTGATGCCCGAACTCCGAATCCTCAAGAGAACCCCTAAACCCTAAACCCTAAACCCTAAACCCTAAACCCTAAACCCTAAACCCTAAACCCTAAACCCTAAACCCTAAACCCTAAACCCTAAACCCTAAACCCTAAACCCTAAACCACACACAGGGCCTACGACATGCTGAATCCTGAAAGGAACCTCCCTCAGACCGGCTCCATGTCCTAACCTGGATACGAAGCCCTCCTCTCCTTTATTCCCTGGGGATTTAGGGCTTAGGGCTCAGGGTTTAGGGTTTAGGGGCCCCTAAACCCTAAACCCTAAACCCTAAACCCTAAACCCTAAACCCTAAACCCTAAACCCTAAACCCTAAACCCTAAACCCTAAACCCCAGGGGTGGAGGGGTTTGGGAAAGAACTTTGCCCATGCCAGGTCTTGCCAGTGGAGGGTAGCCTGCGCTACGAGCAGCTTCTTGGCGTCGCGACGACGTAGGAGGGCAACCCTAAACCCTAAACCCTAAACCCTAAACCCTAAACCCTAAACCCTAAACCCTAAACCCTAAACCCTAAACCCTAAACCCCACATTCTTCCACGAACGGAGTTGCTTGAGCTCACTGAATGGAAGTTTTTCGGGGTTGGCGTCTAGGATTTTTATGGCTCAGGGTGTTTCGGGCTTTTGGGGTCTAGGGCGTTTCGGGCTCACAAACAAGGCACCCTAAACCCTAAAACCCTAAACCCGAAACCCTAAACCCTAAACCCTGGTGGGGTTTGAGGAGCCCTTCCCGCCCTGGCCGAGGCAGTGCGCCGCCGTCCTCACCGCCTCCGGGCGCTGCGCGCGAGTTCAGGCGAACTTCCAGGAGCCCCTCGTTCCTAGGGTTTAGGGTTTAGGGTTTAGGGTTTATGCTTTAGGGTTTAGGAAGTGGGTTTAGAGGGCTTACAAGGTTTCTAGGGCTGTAGAAGGGTTCCTTGAGGATTGTAAGATGTCTTGAGGGTTTTGGGGCTTAGGGTGAAGTCTCTTGACCAGGCACGACGCTTAGACAAGCCCCCCTTTCAGGGTTTAGGGTTTAGGGTGTAGGTTTATGTGTAGACAGGGCGAACTCGCAGAAGGCCCGTTGCAAAAGGGGTTTTAAACAGGCTCCCAACCACTCGGAAATCTCTTGATTGGGAGGGGGGGGGGGGGGGCTCCCTTCTCTGATTAAGGGACATTGTAGTTTCATGGTCTCCTAAATGCCCATACGAAGTACATAGAACCCTCAAAAATGGCTGGAGAAATGCTGGGGCAGCTGCCAAACCTGCTAAATCAAGAGCTCAATGTAGCACATTTTGACATGTAGGACCGGAGGCTGATTCCTTCGTAGTTCTCCCAGCCCTAACCGCATATGCTTGATGTGGTTTAGGGTTTAGGCATTACCAGACTTCGGCTCCACATTGTTTCACCATCATCATCAGCATCATCTTGAAAACATATTAAAACCCTAGCTTTATGATGATTGTAGTATTGCTATCATTGACACCATCCTCTCATCACGATTGCTATGTTTATGAGTATACTATTGTCAAGCTCGTTATCTAATCATCAGCGCCATTACTTAGAGCTTACCCGCTCCGATGATAGACCCGTAACACTCAAACATGCTGTAATCCCCTGAGTGCCTGAGCCCTGAAGCATAAAGTTAAGAAACCCTCACGACCTCCTTAAACCCTATAAGCCCTCAACCCACAATAAGCCCTCAACCCTGAACGCCGCCAAACAAAAACCCTAAAACCCGTTGCCCTCCCGAAGCAGGGGGCCTCATGGGTGCCTGGCAGGAGTGCGGACCAATCACCATCCCGCGCGAGCATTTCGCGGACAAGGAGACCGACGAGCTGCTCGAGCACTTCAAAAGGGGATTGGAGTTTAGGGTTTAGGGTTTAAATCTTTCATTATCCCGCAAAAGCATTTGGTTTCTTTGGTTCGCCTACCTCTTTCGAGCTGAGTCCTTGCGCCTTTGGGGTCGGATTTCGACATGGCGCTGGCGTCACTCCTCGCTCGTCGGGGTCTCCATCTTGCTCGTGCATAGAAACTTGTCAAAACTGCGGTAGGCATTGTGGCGCAGAAGCCGCTCGCAACCGGACCCCAGCCCTGTCAAGCTACCCTATAGACCATCAGCCCAACCCTGACGACGAACATCATGCCAGCTGAAGCCCGAACCTCCTTTCAGGACCGCCAGGGCTTCCACTATAGACCCTATAGACCCCAAAAGAGTGAACGCCCAAGTGCACCATCAACCATTGATCTCATCGTCGTGCCTTCCACCGGTCGAATTTACTCCCAATATCTTTCAACTTCATAGGGTAGTTTATAGGGTTTATAGGGTTTGATAGAGTAGTTTATAGTGCAGTTTATCAAGGCTTCTAGGGGTTTATCGTGTTTATGGAAGTATGGAGTAGTTTTTAGAGAGCAGTTCAAGAAAATTATGGATTGCGGCCCTGAAACATCCTGCTGTGCTGACGCAGGAGGTATGTCCTTCTGGCAGGCTTGCAGGCCTGGCTAGATAGGGCTTGGGGTTTTATAGAGTTTTTAAATGAGGATTTTTAGGGTTGCTTGGGGAGTTTTCGGGTTGTTTAGGGTTGAGGTCTCAATCAACAAGGGCCCTGCGAGCTGCGACTGGAAGAGGAAAAATGCTCGCCATGGTTGAACGAAGTTGGCACTGTTCCTCTGTCATGACCAGGCCAGGATGACCTGGTGCAATTTCAGGGCAGGTAATGGGTGTGGGCAGACAGTGCTATCCGCTTTGGGTTCTTCGTAGTTACCGGCGACCTGAGCGTGTATGCCACGGACTCCGCCATGCAGGCTGCGAAGTTTCCAGCGGTGGCGCTGGTATCCCGAACGCAGATCCTAGGCTATTCCTGGCATGCTCCACTGGTCTAAGGGATCCCTACAAAGGAGTCTTGTTCAAGTCAGGCAGTGTTCGGCAGGCCTTCCGCTAGGCTTCTGCACCAATGTTAGGGCTTCACGTCCCTGGGCACGTCACATATCTCGGTCACGTCATAAAGGCAGATGCAAAATGACTCTCATCACCGGCCCTTCCCCAGCACAAGGATGTGGGCATCTATGTCTCGGCAGTTCAAACACAGTGGTGTACCGGCACCACAGCTGCCCGGTGCGGTCCGGGTGCAGGTACCCTCTACACACCCACGAGTCTCATTGCTACCAAGATGTTGACGTGACTTATCGGTGGTTGGGTCATTCATGCGGAGACATGCTAGGTGTGATTTTGAGAGGTGCAAGCCAGCACGCAGATAGCAGGGACTCTAGCTGTGCCCTTCCCTTACCTAGTAGTAGAGTAGGTGAACTTTAAACCTTTTTGGGGTAGTATAATCCCCTTCTAATCCCGAAGGTCAACCTTTAAATTCCCCCAAGTTATCGGACAGCTCAGCTTACCTCCCCGAAAGACCCCGGCCCGGAAGCCGACAGCGCTTAAGGTTTGAAAGCCTGTCGAAGGAGGTCGCTCAGTCCTTGTAGAGAAGGGCGTGGCTGCCCCAAGAGGCCCCCCGAAACCTTCCATCCTTGTAGTATCTTGTAATTGTAGGTTACCTCAGAATCCTTTTCTCCCAATGAGCCTGCGAAAAGTGCTTGAAGACTAAGCGTTGGAGAGCTTCCTGGACCTCCCTCATCCCGGGGAGGAAGACCCCAAAAAGCTGACGCCCCGACTTCGGGGACATAGCGTGTTGAGGATTGAGGGTCCGAAGACTAAAGTCGGGCTCAAAATCAAGGGTTTCCGACATTAGGGGGTCCTTATCATCAGGGAATCCTACTATATGGGGGTCTAATTTAGGGGTCCCCTATCGTAAGCCCCCAAATCGTGTAGTATTTGGGGCTTCCGGCCTGCATTTCGTGCAAAGCCGAGGTTGCGTATGCCAGCACCTGCCGCCAGGCGGAGGATGATAGGCCCGTCGCAGGCTCCGCATGATTCTTGGGGTACAAGTTAGTTTCCTCTAGGGTTTAGGGTTTAGGGTCTAGGGCGCAGCCCCTCGCAACCCCTAAACCCTAAACCATGTAGCAAACCTTTCGGTTTCCGGGCCTAGCATCCCTTGATGCGGGACAATGCCCCTGAACAACTACTCAGGGTTCCTTAAGCTTAGTATGAATAGTCCTGGTTGATGCCGGTTGACGAGGGGTAGCGCTCGCCGGGCAGGCTATTTCAACTTCTGTCCGAATCGCTTGAGCCCGGCGGCCGAACGAAATTGGCACCAGGATGTGGCTATCGCGACCCACGAAATTCTGTGTCGGGGTTGCACTCGGACGTATCGGCAGTGGTTGAGGTGTTTGGCTCGCGCTTTTGCGTATTCTGCTTCTGCAGTTGCAGCTTTCATGGTCATACTGAGCCCCAAACCCACGAATCAAGGAACATGCCCTAATCAGTGATTCCGGATGTGGCTTGTTCATAAAGAGGTTTTTGCGCTCTCTGCAGCATGTATACGAGATCGTCCACGCCCAAACCTGCAGACATTGCAGATCCTAGCAAGCACTGCAGCCAATGGTTTCCAAGGATTGTTCAAGATTCTGTTCCTTTTGTGGTGCCCCCTCCGCATCAGAATCCGTACCCATAGGTTAATAAAGGGACACGGAAGTATGGCAACTGCCGTCTGCTCTCGCACAGGCACACCATGGCGTTCTCCTCCTCACTTTTTCCCTTCTTCAGGGACATCCTGGGTACTCCGCGGACCCCGCGCAACGACGCCCGGTCTCGGAAGGCAGTCTGGGCTGATGAACATTCTGGGCCCTAGTTCGTTCTTTGAGCTACAAGACATTGATGATGTGGTGGTGTAGTGGGTGGTCGTCGTAGGGGCATTGCTGGGGCCTGAAGGCATAGATGTGAGAGAAAGGCAGGCCTGGCTTGGATGTCGAGAACAGCGCTCCTTCTGTCCTGTACTTTGCTGCGTCTCAAAAGCGGGGCGTTGGTCGCAAGCGCCCTTTGCAGTAGGCGCGAAAATAGAAGGCAACTTCTCATAGTCATGTTAACTTGAACGATTACGAGAAGTATTCTGGCAAGAGGGCCGGTCCAAATTTGGGCTAGGCCGACGAACCCCGACCCCAGCGCGTGAACATCCTGGGTCTGCATGTAGAGCCAGTAGAGCCTACAATTTCAACATGAACGAAAGTGGGGCCAGCTGGTGGACTCATAACTAGCGGTCGCGGCGTGATGCCGACGTAGGCGTTGCCCTCAAGTGCTGAAGGCACCGTCGATACAGATCCTTGGTTTAGTCATCATCATCAGACGCCAGGTGAAGAGCGCAGATATCAGGGGTCGCGGCATGAGACTCCAGATTCAATCTTACATTTTCGGGATCACGAAACACATAGTATATACAGACAGAGATACATATATCTATAGAAAAGAATCCCCAAATCCCCCTCCTTCTCGGGCCCCGAAACCCCTGCTTTTGGAAGCAGCCGCCAAGGACTGGGGCTTGCCACCCATCCAGGAGCCCCGAGTGAGACGATTCGCATGAGGATGTGTGGTTTAGGGTTTAGGGTTTGGGGTTTAGGGTTTAGGGTTTAGGGTTTAGGGTTTAGACAGCAAGGAGTCCATTTGCAAAAAGGGTTTAGGATTTAGTATTCTGGCTGGTGTTATGATGATCGCTACTCCTGTCATGTTTGCAACTATATTATCAGGTTCAGCGACGACGACGGCGGAGACGATTTTTTTGATTGCTCCCCTAACTATGTACCCCCTTCAAGAGGAAGTCAGTCTTGCCCTGGAACCATTCCATCTATTGGAGGGCTTGCCTGTGGCCCGTCTGGCCAAGTTGACTAGCTGTTGTTCTGCAGAAGAGTGTCTCCGTAGTCGTTCTTCCCGCGCCGCGCCCCGTGTAAGGTGTAGAACCACCAAGGCTGTCGGAGCTAAGGGGTCAGGGTTTCAGGCCCAAGGATGCGATTTCATCAAGAATGTGGAGGTTGTTCCGATTCCTAGTCCTTTTGAGGACTTCAATCCTGAAATTACGAGGGTTTAGGGTTTAGGGTTGGTTTAGGGTTTTTCCAGATGCAAAAAACGGTTCTGTCTAGAGACCCCAGAGACCCTGCTAGGATGGAAGCTACCGCGCCGACAGCTCGACCCTGCGAGTGGAATCTCGACTTGCGCCCAACACAATAGTCATAATCATAATACTAATGTAGCATTACAACTGCCACAACAAGATAATAGCAGTTTTTAACATCATGACTACAAACTAAAGCATCAAAAGAGCTGAACCTGCAAGCCCGGAGGTTGGATTGCTCAGACATGCAAGGGCACACGTCGCGCCAGCAGCCAAAAGGCCACCTTTAAGCGCCTCGAAACACATCTTCCCGGATCCCGAGATGAAAGGCCCTTTCTAGGGCTTGGGGTTTAGGAACCCTAAACCCTAAACCCTAAACCCTAAACCCTAAACCCTAAACCCTAAACCCTAAACCCTAAACCCTAAACCCTTTCAGAGAGCCTCCAGCTGTTCTTGCAACTGGGATGCCCAGGTTCACACCAACAAAAACGCACCCCACCAGTTTCGGGCAGCGCAGTGCTTAGGCTCAGGGGGAGCGCAAGAAGAGTCTGAGGGTAGTTACATGGACAACTTAACATGGTCCCTAGCCTCCTTCAAAGGGTTCTCATGTATGGGCCCCTAATGTGTATAGGGTCTACAAGGGGTATATAAGGGGTACCTTTTTTAAGGGCCCATACTAAGGGACCATGTAATACTGCCCCAAGAAGGAGGCCTTAAGAAGGCGCTTGGAAGCTGCCCGGAGCAGCCCAGGAGGACGTGGATGGCCTGGAACGCCGGTTCATCGTGCTTCCGAAGGTGGTGCCCCTTGGCCCAAGAGTGGCAAGCCTAAGCCAGTATTGTTTGTTTAAGAACCCCTCATGAAATTTCGGAAGTATTCTTCCATATAAGGATGATACAGGGACCCCCCCAAAAAGTAAAGCCACATTCTTCCTCATAAGTGTTCATGTAGGGGCTATTGTCTTCCATTTTCTTTGGGGCGTTCGTAAGCAAATAGTGAAGAAAGTGTGAGGGCGGCAAGCCTAAGTGTTGGGTTACGAACTCGCTGCCCAGGTACGACACTTACAAAGATGAAGGGCTCCCGAAGCCTCTTGGGATGTTCCCCTTGTACTAACAGTCCTTAATACGGATAATACTAGGAGGTACTATAATCTCTATTGAGGACTGTTAGTTAGTATAAGGGGGAACGTACCAAGCAGCCTCTTACGAAAGGAGCTGGAAAGGCAGGTTCCGCAATGCCCTTTCACCAAAGCCGGAAGCCTCCCGAAGCTTGCGATGTTCCCCCTTATTCTAGCAGTCCTTCATGGGGATTATAGTACCCCCTATTATAATCCCTATTAAGGACTGATAGTATTTTGGGACCCTAAACCCTAAACCCTAGTCCAGTTTAAGGAATGGTAGTATAAGGGGGAACATCCCAACCTGAAGCCCTAAGCCCCTATACGCCCCTAGCCTCCTAGACCGGCATCCCCCGTTTAGGGTTTAGGGTTTAGGGTTTAGGGTTTAGGGTTTAGGGTTTAGGGCTTAGGGCAAAAAAACCTTCTTTCTAACCCTGAGACTATTAAAACATGGCTCCTCTTTGGGTGCCCACGATAAGGTGGCACCCCTTAGCAAGGGACCAAAAGGGTAACTTTAATTTAGAGGACTACCGTTATAGCCCCCCTTAGGAATTATTTTGTAGAAAACCCAAGGGAATATTATTGTAGTAGCAATTCTTCCCTAAGGGGAGTAGTAGAGCTCAGGCAGGCTGCACGACACCACTTTGGCTGCACTTCACTGGAAGGCTCCGCGGTTCAGCATCTTAGGGTTTAGGGTTTAGGGTTCAGGGAGGGGGGGTGGGGTATGAAGCCCTGTACTTCTAAAAGTTTACGCCTGCAGTTGAAAGGGATTTTCAACGGTTCTGAGGGCCCCTGGGTCACGTTAGGCCTTTTTTTTGGGGGGGGGCGGGGGGGGCGTTGGCAAGTTGCTTGATCAGATCGCTTGAGAACTCGACTCTTCCAAACCTCGGGATTCTTGCAGACAAGGCCGGGATTTAGGCCTCAGGGTTTAGGGTTTAGGGTCTCTAACTCCGGACCAAGGTTAGGGTTTAGGGTTTTGGGTTTAGGGTTTAGGGTTTAGGGTTTAGGGTTTAGGGTTTAGGGTTTAGGCCAGCTGACGTGCAGAGTCTGGGTCCCAAAATGGTTTAGAGCAACAAAGGTTCAGGAGTGAACGCTCGTTTCAACAGCGGCCCTATCTAAGGAGTAGCTCTGGAAGAGCAGGGCGGTGATGGCTCCGCATTTTCCCACTGGGACGCGCGAATCATGCACACGGAGGCCGGGGGTTTTCTGAAATCCTTAATTTTAAGGGAATCTGCTATTTGGGGGTTTCTGAAATCCTTATTTTAAGGGAATCTACTATTTGGGGGCTTTAGGGTTAGGGTTTTGGGGTACCTTTTTCGGGTCCTTATTATACGGGGAGCCCACTCTTTCGGGTCTATCTTAGGGGGTCCCCTTTTTTCGTAAAGCCCCATTTGCCCATGGGGAGCACCCCTCGGCCATGCCTTCTGGGTGTGAATCGGAAAAAACGGGAGGTGTCTTGTGTGTGTGAGAGAGAGCATTGTCACATGCAAAGGATTGAAGCCGCCCTAAACCCTAAACCCTATACCGTTACCCTAAACCCTAAACCCTACCGTTGTCAACAGAGGAATCCAGATCGACTGGGAGGGCGGAACCCAAAAAAAGCTCAGATTCCCTGCCTCCTTCCGAGGTGATGGCTGCGGAGAGCAGCGCCATGCCCCGCATCTCAGACATGACGCTGGCGCTGATGGAGGAGCGTCCCGTTCATCATGATGAGAGTGGGTTTGTGCTTCAGAGAGTTTAGGGACTGGGGGGGGGGGGTGGATTGGGATTAGGGTCGACACCCGGTACTTTACTCTCCTCTGCACAACATTCTGTGCAAGCAGCCGCAACTGCACAGCATCATTCACCTGGGCTTGGGTGTCTTTTCTGGCTTCGAGAAAGACTTGTTGACCATGAGGAGAGGACCCTTCCCACCCCCGAGCCCAACCCTGTCGTTGCCAGAGGACAGCGGCTGGTACCGGGTTCTCGGGGGGCTGGTTGCATCAGGCCTGCACGAGACCACAATGCCTTTACCCTTGCTGGTCGAAGTTCACAACAAGGATTAACCCGGGAGGAGCAAGGTGGGTGGCAGATGGGTGTTGAGGTCACTGACTTGCCTTGAAGTCATTTGGACTTGATTCTCAGGGGTTTTAGTACGACAAGACATGAAGCACGTTCTCTGTCTCAGATGGCGACAGTGCAGCCGGGCACTTTGTCTTCGGCCGAGGGAAAGGCTGCGGCCACTTGGCGAGCGAAAGCATCATTCTGCAGCCTCGGGGCCCCCTTCTGGATCACGCTCGCACATCTGGGGTCTCTGTCGCTTTGCTGTCTTCCTCGTGCGCTGCTCCAGAAAAGGCGTTTTCCTAGCATTTGCACAGCTTACATAACTTGACACATTATGACACCAGGGACAGGGTGGGGTGAACAAAGTCTAGATCTCCGGTAGGGTTCCAGGTCAGCAGGGTGTGCGGTGGCCATGAGACCCTCTTGTGGTAGCGCCGGGTCGTCACAGCTCAGGCTTCCTGCAACAAAGTTGCATCATCGCACCTCGGCTACAATCCGCGCGCGCCGCTCTCGCGGATTGCAAGGGCGCGCTTCAAGTAATCATTGCGGTCCACACCCCTCTGTCAGCTTTCAGGAGCTTGCAGCTTGCACTCAAAGCAACCGCTATTTCTGGGACTGAGGACAGCCAAAGTGCTTTCCCGGATACCTTCTGCACAGAGAGCCAGGGAGACTGCTCGCATCCGAATGCAGGAGCTATGTTTTGGGGGGATGCGTTGCAGGGGGCCTATCGCCTTAGCTGAAAGTCTGGGGGATCTCCAGCTAATGGTCAGCTATCCTTCTGAGCCCTGCAGGAACTGTCGGCTGTTCCCATGACCACTTGTCCCTGGGAGCTTGCACCAACTGCCTGCATCGCGACAGCCTGCCTGCCAGATATCGGCACTTCGACAATCCCAGGCGGCACCCGAGGGTTCGAGTGCTGGGTTCGAGTGCTGGGTGAGGAACAAACTCTAACAGCAGCACTTGCATCTTCCCAGTGCCGAGACAGTGGCTTGACCGGGACCCTGAGGCTGGGTGGCATTGCGGCCTACGCTGCCAAGTCTGAATTCAACAGCTGCGCAGGGAGGTGGGTCGTCGATCCTGCATTCGGTTCACGTCACATCTGAGGTTGGCTACTGCCCGACTGTGGAGCCTTTCTGGTCTTCTGGACAGCCGACCTTCTGCGCAAGTGGAGGGGTGTACAGCGACCGAACCTCGCAACGCTTCTCGGGCGTTCTCAGGAGTGGGCCCTGTGTTGTTGGTTGATGAGTTGACTGCAAGCATATGACATACACCAGACAGCACTTGCGCTCGTTTCCAGATTCTTCCATGGCAACACTGGCAATGATGGCCTTCGAAACGGCTCCAGCCGCCCCTGTTTTCGCAAACCCCCATCATATCTCACGCGGTCCTTTTGCATAAGTGGGACCTGGCCTTGTATCGGCTCTAGCCGCAATAGCTGCAAACCTTTCCGCTCTTCCCCCCTCCCCTGCCAGCCAGGCTTTGGTGAATCCCACGGCCCTGCGTCTCGATGTGTGTTGTCTACGGCCACCAAGTCAGGCCGCCTGGGCCGATGGGAGGCTACAGCAACCTTGTAGGTGTACTAGTTTGGTGAGTTGAGTATTCTGACAGAGGGGAGTAGGGTGATGTGATTGGGGCCACGTCGACCTGCATGAAGCTGAAGCTGCGGGCGGTGTCGATCGCATGCAAGGCTTCGTGCCGCCAGAGGAGCCGCAGGGGACTTGCCGTGACGTTTTCTGCCTGGAGGATGCCGTGCGGATCAGGACTGGCTATTTTAGGTCGGAGAACTTGCTTGGGTTTGGGGCTTCAGCTTAGCTGTAGAGTAGGGAACCTTCAACCTTTTTGGGGTACTAGAATCCCCTTAGAATCCCAAAGGTTAACCTTTAGTTCACCAAGGGTACTGGACAACTAAGTCACTAAGTCAAGGTGTAGACATGCAGAAATCAAGGCGTTTTCGGTCCGGCGTTGTGGATGACATCCAGATACCACCTTTGCCTAGTTTCTACACAACTTGTATGGTCGGCGGAACCACCCAACAAAGTTCTTCCAAGCGTTTTGTGAAAGGATCAGCGATAACAACTTCGTCCTCTGCGGAAAGGAGGAGAGACTTGGTTCCAGCACGGCGAAGACAGCATTAGCTGCTGTGGGTGGGGTGGAAAACCAGACGAGCTGCGGGCAATGATGAAAGCAGATTCGATACGAAACCATGTGGCCGTCTTTCTTGCGCACCTATGCATATATATATATATAATTCATATTATGTATATATATATATATAAATATATAGATACATCGACCATCTTTGGAGGAGCGCGAAAAGAGCATCAACAATCGTGAGCAATCATGAACATGGCAAGATCCGTTGTCAGAGCCAAACTCTCCATACTACAGTGACGTCAGAGCGTTCTGAGACTGGGACGGCGAAGAGTTAGGGCTTTGCAAGGCTCGCACGGCGGAGCTTTGACTTAAAGTTAGAAGGCCGTGGAAGCCCGACTTAATCGGCCAACCGGTGGGTCACTGGAAGCGTTTCCGTTTCTACTTGTGGCTTGACACGCAAGCTTAAGACAGCCTGGAGCTTGTAAAGGCGATGTGATGTGTTCTGGCCATGGTGCCTTCAGCCCATAGCCCAGCATAGGGTGGAGGACCTGGGATAGGCGGTGCGTGTCAAGATCATGTGGGTGGTTGTCAAAATGATGGTCCGTTGTTGGGTCCCTATTATCATACGGCGCCTCATGTTTAGGGTACCCCAAAAAGGGTCATAATTTGGACAGCCACTCATGTAGCCCGAAATCTTTCAATGCCAGGTCTAGATGTAACAGGCAACGGCGTGCTGCCGCCAGGGCAGTGGCACCGGCGATGTTGATAGGGCTTCCGGGTGTGCGTGGCCAGAAGTGGCACTGCCCGTGCCCAGTTGAAGAAGACATCGAAACAGATTCTTGAGCAAGCGTTGGGCTCTCAGACCCCAGAAGCGAGGGGGTTGCCTTACGGAGCCATTTAAGTGTGGGCCAACAGGGTTCCGGGAGGCTGGGGGTCCTGGCCGGATTTGGGGGTGAACATGACCGATTCATGGATTGCGCCTAACCAAGACTTTGTAACACCCTTCTGCAATCCGGACAATTATCTGAACCATCTGACTAAAACTTCCTGGTGAGAGGAGAGATTGTGAACAATTAAGGACTGGCGTCAGGAAGAGTGTTTTCGGCCAGTTTGCAGGCCCTACTGCCTCAGCGCCTGCTTTTGAACCACTGCTTTTGGTCGTTGTCTGACTAGAATACCACGTCGCACACTCCTTCATGCACCATTCTGAATTGCCCCTACGAATCCCTACGAATCAGCGAGCTTTCGCCGTGAGCGTTTGCGGCAGTTCAGCGCAGTGCTGTTAATTATAGTGGTTACGGGGTTGCGGCAAAAGCGCGGAGCCCGGAGGTTACATCCTGTGTCCACGCTATGCTACCATCTGTGGGCAGACGGGGGCAGAGGGCCCCAGAGAAGGAGCTGAATGTCACTTCCCTGGTACGTTTCCTGGCCTGAGCATGTCTTGACATTTCCGTGAATGAGGATGACAGCATTCTGGGGTCTTTCCGGGACGCCCATCAATGTTCAAGCTAATCTTGGCAACATCAACATGCGAGCACCTGGCTTCAAAGTCTGTCTTACGCTCGTCTTACGCCACGGAGGTCTCTGACTCCAGTTCACTAGCCGGCGAGCCGTCAATGCCGATCCTAAGACAAGAACCTCTTGTAGCCGTTGGGCTTGACCTTGTTCCTCAACAAGTAATCCTGTTGTTCCTCAACAAGTAATCCTGTTCCTGTCCAAGGCACCGCCATGGCCGTTGTGTGACTCGGTGGAGAACTAACATCGCCGGTGGTTGATACTGTAGGCATGAAGCCCGGTTTCAGGGCTTCATCATGACTACATTCGTTGGAGTCGGGCTTTGGTGCTAGGCGCGTGCCCCAGCCGACCAGGTTTGTGCTCCAGGAACCATGGGCGCAGACTGCAGCGTCCTTGACAAAGCGGCGAATCGACAGGAGCCGGACAAGCCTGAACATCCCATCCTGCAGCACGCAAGCTTTTTTTTTTTTTTATTTTACCCTGCGGGCTTGGGGAGCTCGTTTGCATTCAAGCTCAGCTCCAACTATCGCCGTTATCCCTAACCTATTCACCTTTCCCAGGGCATGCTAAATCCTACCCCTTAGGCTCAAAACAGCCCAGAAACCCTATGTCATCAGGCCCTTAAACAAGAGTTCTTGGAGCCTCAGGGTATACTCTTGCCTTACAGTTGCTCCTCCTCCCCCCCCCTCCCCCCCCTAAACCCTAAACCCTAAACCCTAAACCTGGCTTGTCCGAGTGTGAGCGATTAAACCCTAAACCCCAAACCCCAAACCCTAAAGTCCGAGTGTGAGCGATTAACCCCTAAACTCTAAACCCTAAACCCTACCCTAAACCCTATGTCTTACAGTCGCCAGGACTTCCCTTACGGGCTGCGCTACCCTCAGCAGGAGCTGGAGCTAAAGGCCCGGCCCTTTTTTGGATCTCCGGGGGACGATGGTGATGTGGGGTTTAGGGTTTAGGGTTTAGGGTTTAGGGTTTAAGGTTTAGGGTTTAGGGTTTAGGGTTTAGGGTTTAGGGTTTAGGTTTTGATCTCCGGGACGGTGGTGATGTGCAATACGGGGGTTTGCGATATTAGGGGTACCTTATGGGGGTCACTGTTGTAAGGGGATCCTACTATTCGGGGGTCTATTTTAGGGTCCCCTATTTTCGTAAACCCCCATAACGAGAGTGCTACTCATGGCCGTATGATGCATATCGCGAGCTTCGTCAGGCTTATCTTTGCATGTATCTTCAGCGCATGCCTTTTCAGTTCTGCGTACGGTGTCTTTCTTTCCATTTGCCACAAACGTTCCGTTTTGATTACTTGCTGAGCGTGCCAGAGGCAGGATTTAGAGGCTAAAGTCCGAACTAGAAGTTATCCGCTGCCCTGACAAAGTCCAAATCGAGAACGCGACCCCGCCAAGCAAACATCAAAGCTGAAATTTCGATTGTGAGTGGGTCAGTCCACCAAGCTCTGAGCTAAATGAGCCTACCACCCGGAAGGTGGCAGATTTAGGGTTAAGGGTGGGTGTATGTAGGCTTCCGGTTCGGATCAGGGCCGCAGCCGCAACACAATACCAAGAAAAAACAGTGAATAACATTTCATATCCAGCGGTATCCCCTCCCCCCCCCATCCCCCCAAAACCCTAAACTCTAAACCCGAGGAGAACAATTTTGGCGGGTGGGGGGGGTGGGGGGGGGGGGCCGCGGGGGGGGGGGGGGGGGGGGTGTAGTGGGGGGTGGGGCGGGGGTGTAGGGGGGGTGGGGCGGGGGTGTAGGGGGGGGTGGGGGTGTAGGGGGGGGTGGGGGGAGGACGCTCTTACTATACGTTGCATATTCTACATGATATATATATATATACATATACATATATATGTCAGTATATATATATATATGTATGAAAAATATATATGTATATATTATGACAGGCGACAAAAAATTCTACATATACATGTATACATATATACATATGTGTGTATACATAAACCCCAGCAAAACCAGACGTCAGGTGGGCCTGGAGCTGTCGCGGACTGAGGGCCTCCTGGCCTGGCCTTTGGCTCCCGCCCTGCAGAGCCAACCCCGGTGGCTGGGCGCGCGAGAGTGCGGTTGAGGGTTTAGGGCTTAGGGTTTAGGGTTTATTTGGGGTTTGGGGTTTAGAGATTAGGGGGTTTAGGGTTTAGGGTGTTTCGGGTTTTGGGGTGCGGACCTTCAACAAAAAGTGGTGAGAGCACGACCTGCTTTTTCCTCTTAAGCATCAAGCGACAAGGGTGGTCGTGGGCAGATAGCGTGCTGTAGAAGAGCGTGCGTGTGTGGAAGGGTCGAATTTCGGATGCTGGTATACCTGGCGGAGCTAAGAATGCCAACTGATTAACTGACTCCCAGGCTGATACAGTTCAAGGTGGATCCAGCAACATGGCAGCAATTCCTGAGCTCCCTGCTGGGGCTGTGACTGTTTTAGGGTTTATGCAAACTTAGGGGTCACCGCACCCCTGATGTGTGGAAGAATAAAGACCCTCACTACGAGTTTTGTTATTGCTCGTATGGTGTTCGCATCACTGTCGGATCACTGCTATTGCTTCTCGTTGTCCAGTTCATTCTCTTAATCACTTACTTCATTCCGATTCAATGGTTCTTATTATGGTTGATTGTTAGTACCGTAATTATGATGTTCAATGGTTTTTCGGTTGCTTTTCATGGTTTATGGTGATGAGGTTACCCCCTCTCCATGCTTTAGGATTTCATTCTGCTGCGTCTGTTGGTTTAAAGTAGCATGATGGAGATTCTCAGCACGCCGCCATGGTTGCGCGTGGATTTCTGCAGTCTGAGGGCACAGTTCTGAACTGAAGGCATATTCCTGAAATGCGGGTCTACACCGTAAACCCTAAACCGCGAGTGTAAGAGTCGAAGCCTTAAGTCGCCTCAACCCTCAACCCTCCCTCCCCCCCCCCCCCCCCCCCTTTTAGAGACGGTCTCAGGCTTTGCCCGTGGGCCTGAGCCTCAACTCCGCACCTTGGGATTCAGCTTGATGGGACTGCTGGCATCTTCTTAGAGGCAACAGGACAAGTAGTAGAAGAGAATAACCGCAAATGATAGCAGCAATCGTCAGAACCGTCATCGTAGTATTCACAGTACGTCAGTCGTCACATCAGCCAATCCGAGAAGCATGGCTGTGGCACACTCTTGCTCAAGGCAAGGGTTTTGGGGTGCCTACGGCTGAAAGGGTTGATCATGATGGGTGCTGGGCAGCTAAAAGCCCTAAACGCGGGAGAAGCTCTCGTCCTTTGCCAAGCTTTCTTCCCTAAATCGGCGTCGCCATCATCTACCCTCAACCCTGGACCCTCAAAAAACCCTATAAGCCCGATAAACCCTATAAAACCCTATAAAACCCTATAAAACCCTATAAAACCCTATAAACCCCTATAAACCCTATAAGCCCCATAAATAATATAAAACCCTGTAAATCCCTATAAACCCTATAAACCCTCAACCCCAAATACCCATGGGGGTGCGAAAAGGAAATACCCACTCAGATTCAGCTGGCCTGAGACATGCTGAGACCCTACAATCCTCAGCCCTAGAGGCGCCCGGCATGATGCAGAGTCATGGGTCTTGGGGCCTCAGGGCCTCAGATTTCAGAACCTACTGAACCGGCGGAGCTTGTTGGAGGTTTCGGGGTTGTAGAGGTTTAGGGTTTAGGGTTTAGGGTTTAGGGTGGCGAGAACCAGGCAGATGGCGAGCTTCGGGGCACGCCGGCTGCATCGCTTGAGCGCCGCCCTTTTGTGTTGCCTGGCACCGTGTTTCGAAGGGTTGCGGAGGTCACTGAGGGCCAGGGCCAGGGGTTCAAAAGTAAAGTGGCAGCTGCCTTTTGACATAAACAATGTCTTGGAGGATTGTGGCCATGGAATGCTATGGATGTGTACTGCAGCTGCGTAAAGATCTTGCGTTTTTCACTTCCCAGATCCGGAGCTCTGCGTCAAAAACCTCTTCAAAATAGATGGGAAGGCCACGGCTGGCTATCCCGAATCAACATGGTCCACCTGCGAAGTACTTGCAAGTATGCGTACATCATCAAGCAGTTAGGGGACATGGCTCCCTGCAGTTGCAGGTCTTCCCTTGCAGTTCCCCAGCACAATGATGAACGGCCCACGCGCCAGTCATGTCCGCACGCGGCGCAACGCAGAAGCCAAAGGCTCTTCCGACAAGTTCCAGCCTCGCACACAAGAGAGTATGACATCAGTGGATTCGGCTGTAGATGGTTCCGCGTGAGCAATGAGCGCAGCTTCAGGCTTCTGGGATTCTGGGCGATTTGCGCACGTACGCTGCAAAATCAAACGCGGATTGCCGCTCGCTCCTCGAGCTCGCCTTACAAAACTGGCTGGTGCTTAATAGGGAATGAGAGAATGAGGTACCTACATAATCCCTTTAAAGGGTATATATGGTTCCGTGTCCCGTGTCGGTACCCCCCCCCCCCCCCCCCCCCAATCCCCCCCCCAACCCCCCACCCCCCCGCCCCACCCCCCCCCAAACCCTAAACCCTAAACCCTAAACCCTAAACCCTAAACCCTAAACCCTAAACCCTAAACTCTAAACCCTAACCCCTAAACCCTAAACCCTAAACCCTAAACCCTAAACCCCTAAACCCTCAACCCTCAACCCTCAACCCAAACCCCAACCACACCACCCCACAGGGGGGCCCAAACCACAGGCGGGCGGGGCGGGGACCCTAAACCCTAAACCCTAAACCCTAAACCCTAAACCCTAAACCCTAAACCCTAAACCCTAAACCCTAAACCCTAAACCCTAAACCCTAAACCCTAAACCCTAAACCCTAAACCCTAAACCCTAAACCCTAAAACCTAAAAACCCCTAAAACCCTAAAACCCTAAACCCTAAAACCCTAAAACCCTAAAACCCTAAAAAAACCCTAAAACCCTAAAACCCTAAAACCCTAAAAAAACCCTAAAACCCTAAAACCCTAAAACCCTAAAACCCTAAAACCCTAAAACCCTAAAACCCTAAAACCCTAAAACCCTAAAACCCTAAAACCCTAAAACCCTAAACCCTAAACCCTAAACCCTCAAAATGGCTCAAGTAGCCATTTTGGCTCAAGGCTTAAGGACGGACCCTGGATAGCCAACGATTCTGGGGGAGGCCTCGTTGTGTAAGTGACCCAAGCCCCTACCCGTCCTGCTTCTGTGGTCCTGCTCCAGTTGTGTCCTCCCTTTGCCGACGTGCTGTTCTCTTGACTGCCTATGTCCGTGCGGGATGGGAACCATGGAGGGGATGAGCGAGGGGACCACCCGAGGGACGTGCAATTGGTTAGTGATGAAGAGGGGGCTGAGGCAATGACGGGGGGGATTACGACCCCGACGCCCATGAACGGGGAGCGTGCGGGGGGGATGAAGGGGGGAGGGGAGACGGCGGAAGACGCCTCACTGAACGCCTCCGTGGAGACACGTATATGGCCACCTGTTGATACTGTCTCTCAGCGCCCCGGGCCGGGAGCAACGGAAGCGCCGGCTGATGACGACGACGACGATGACGACGACGAGCGTGACAGCCAACAGACTCTGCGAGACTCGCCACTGGAGCCTGAGGTCCCCGCGCTCCCCACTATGCCTCACTTAGGAGACGGGGTCGAGGGGGGAGGGGCTACCACCGCACGCGAAAGCCCTGAAGTGATTCCGTATCTCCCCGCCCTACCCTATCCCAACCAATCGCGTGCTGTCAGGGTCAACCCCCAAGTTCTGAGTTCCCCGAATGCCAGAAAGGAAGCGATGGAGAGAGTCTCGCGTCTGCATGATAGCCTCTCCACGCCAAATGCTAGGGGCAGCAGTGTGGCTCGCAATGTGGCAGCAGCAGGCAGCGACGTGCGAGGGCCTGAGGAGCGAGGTAGGCAGCTGGATCGTGCGCCTGAGAGAGAGGCGGACGTAGGGGATGTTCCGATGGCTCCTGCCACCCCCCTGGGTGTTCCCAAGCACCACCTTAATGTGCACCATGGGGCTATTCTGGAAACCCCCCCGAAAACACTAATGCATCCTCGCGCCCGCCATGGCCTTTCCTCGGACGAGGAGCAAGCAAAGAAGCCCAAGGTTTCGCATGACTTCCCGAACGCCGGCACGCTAGCCCCACAAAGCGGCGGCCCCGTGAATGCCCCCATGTTTGGGGTAGGCCCAGGGGCCGCCAGGACACCTCCCGTGCGGTTTTCTATTGCGGACGCGGGTGAGGAGGACGAACTCGTCAACGCGTGTAGCCGGTCGGGGCAGGCCTTGGGAGGAGGGGGAGTTGGCGCGGTGGGAGGAGGGGAGGTCATGGGCGCACCTACAGCCTCCCAAACGCCGAGCTGGGTTCAAAGCCTCATGGACAGCATGCAGTCCCTGCACGTGAAACAAAATCAGTTTGGGGAGAGACAAAGCAAAATGAACAGGTCACTAGATGTCATCGAGACGGAGGTTAGGGGGCAAGAACTTCGTATAGAGACTTTGGAGTGCGCGGTGAGGGAGCACACGACTCTGCATGAACTTACCCAAAGTACCTTCAACAAGCATGCAGCCTTCCAGGATGACACTAGCAGACGCGTCAAGGAGCTTGAGACACGTTTGGATAGCATGCAGAGAGAGGCAAGCCGTAGCCCGACACCCCCACCACGAGACCGTTCGCCCGGGTCAAGAGGCTTCTCTTTTGGATCCGGCCGATACGGCCGCAATGGGGACCGTTCCCCACGCTCAGACAGGGTGATGGAAGTCGAAGAAGAGCTCCAGGTAGTAGTAGGGGGGTGGGAGGATGCCCGCTCGGATGAAGCAGAAGCGGAGGTTGAGCTCCTCTTTCAACAGGCTGGGCTCCAGGATGCCATGGGTGACTTTGAGGGGCCCCAAGGGAGAACTAGGGTCGTCCGAGTCAACCTCAAGTTCCCTACACACCTCAAAAGCATCCCCGACATGCGAAACTTTCAGGGGAGCGTTCTTACGCGGCTGAAAGCCGTCGGTTTCCGTAGTAAGCTCCCGGGTTCTGAAGACCGTGCCCTATGGGCCACTAGAAACCGCACTCCTGAGGACCGGGCGAAGATTAGGGGCCTGGTTCAGGTCAAGGAGTTCATCTGTTGGCTTGATGCATGGGAGGGGAGGGCTGCGCCGAAAGGCGAGATCTATTGGAGAACGGGGACAGTCTTCGTGGATGGGCGTATCAATGTCGTGTTGGAAGCCCGAAATTTGGGACAACCCAATGAACACGACGTTTTCTTGCAAGACAACAGGGGCGACCACACGGGATGGGTCTTGTCTGCGCATCTCTTCCACAGGGCAACAGGCCGCCCGTCGGAGTCCTTGCCTGGTCTCTGGGACAGATGGTTGCAGGCCAATCCAGGACCGGGGCAAAAGTGACTAGGAAGTCAGAGTAAAGCAGTGGAGGTAGGGACGTGGAACATGAGAGGCAAATCCCTTGCTGACCTCTCGACTGTTTGGGACACAGTCTACGGAAAAGGCGTGGATTTTGTGTGCCTGCAGGAGCTCGGAGGACTCACACTCCCAGTCAATGGCTGGGGACATGAGGAAGTTTTCATGGCTGGTCAGGCCTACATGGCAGTTTTGGCCAACCCCCCGGACTCGTTCCGAGGGATGGCCGTCTTGATGCCTACACATGTTTTTGCCCAAGCAACCCGCGTTCAGGTGCTGCCCGCAGGCTTGTCGGTCCAATTGAAGCAGGGCGGGGCCAGCACTTTCGTAATTAGCTTGCACTACCCCCATTCCCAAAGGGAAGATTGCATGGAAGTTTGGTATGCCCAGAATTCTGCTTTGCAGGCCCTCCTTGAACACGTGAGATATTTTGATAGCATCTTAATTGGCGCGGACCTTAATTTGGAATTAATGCATGCACCACTCTCGACGAGCTCATCTGAGGACCCCGATGGGAGAGTAGTCCTCCTCAACTTCCTCGTAGATGAACTAGGCCTCAGCCACACCTTTCCGGATAGGGCCACGTGGACCAACTCGCGAGGT